AACATACCTTGTTATTTAACCCACGTGATTAATTAAGCATAAAATTCTCACATGCATGTTGAATTAAACTAGCACCCAAAGTGTAACCTCCAGAAAAAATTAGCAAAAAAAAAAAAAATTAAACTTAATACCTTAACCCTGACCTCACTCCATGTAGTAGGAAAATCAATAAATATGAGAGAGATTTTTTTTTTTTTAATTGATAAGAAAGTAAAAAACAAATAAAAAAAATTTGTAGTCCCGTGGAATTTGCCTTACAATACGAACTGGCCTATCAAAAGTGTCAAACTTTACGTCTTAGCCATGTTGGGATTGGAAAATGAATGCCCCTTTGTCTCTTTCCTTGAATTTTAAACTGTTTTATTTTTTGGTGAATACATTATTATACGGGTTTTATAATTCTCATACAACATGATAAAGAGAGAATTTTCTATACACCTTTCGATTTTCATATTGATATGAGTTTCGTATATAACTTTTTTTAACATTTGAATCTCACATATTTTTTATTTCTATTATAACATAAGAATTTTCTTTTCATATAACATCAAAATTATAACACCCTTATTATATATAAATAGCTATAGTCCACATTAGCCTAATATATAGCAGCTATGAGGCTTAAACCGGCCATGAGTCATAGCTGTGATATAATTAAAGCCTAAATTTGGCGGACCCTGCAAAGTCAGAACATGTTCAAAGTAATTAAGGATTCTTAGTCTAAGTTGTCACCCTCCAATTCCTCATCCTAACCTTTTCATAAGAAACACCAATACGACACCTAATACTTTACATTGTTTATTAATTTTCATATACTCAAGTCGGCCAATAACTTCTCTTATTGCCTTTCCCTAATTTTACGTGAATCCTTCCTCGGTTTATTGTATTTGGGATGATAAAATAGTTTATCACTGACTCTCTTGTGTATGTTGGGGAACAGATTTGTCTTGACCAATTAACATTTGACACATAATGTACTAGAGAAATTTATGAAAGTATATGCACATGAAAGGTTTAAAAAAGTTACGGCATCATGAAATATTTTAATTTATTAATTCTGTATTTGCAAGGTTATATTACTTGGTCTTTGGATTTATAAATCTATGCAACAATGGAGGTTAAGTGTTGACCTGTCAGCGGTTCTAGGACACTATCACCTACTCACTTATTGAATATATGTTGTGTAACTAAAAGCACCAAAGTGGTCATATGTATTATGTATAGAACTGACTTTGGGATTGGACTATACTTTTTATTTTTTTTTAAATAAGAAACTTTCTAGCTACTGCAACAAAAGTTACTTGGAGCAGTTAAATTTCAATCCGAGAAGTCAAAGAGTTAACTTAAAAATCCCCCTTATTAAAATTATAAATACACATCATGTAAAAACTTTATTCTGAATACATTCTACCTAGAAGGAAAGCAGTTAGTCTATTTACCCGCAGGTTTTTTTTATATTTTTTAATTATTTTATTTGAGTTTCTTCACCCTCTTTAAGAATTACTGACTCTTAAAAATCAAACTTATCACCCTTTGGACAAGCTAAGTCCTAGAATCTAATTGGGACTCCATTAAATCAACAATTCTTGGGTAGGGTTTTTTTTTATATTATTACATGCAGAAACTTAAAATTGACTCATGTGAAAATAAAGTGTTTGATAATGGAGGATTTTTTTTTTCTTTAGAGAAATAAACAAACACAAGACAGATCTTCCTATTGTGACCAAATGGACTAATTCCGTTACTAATACCACTGATTGATGATCATGTTGAAATGAATATAATGAGTTTCCCGAATTTCCAACACTATATATAGTTTAAGAATCAATAAAGAAAAAGTCACTTTAAGAAAAATATATAAATCATGAGTTAACCTTAGTATATGATCTTTTTGGAGATATACACATTGCTTTCGCAGTATTGACCCGAGTGTTTTGAAGATTTAAGTTTTGGCAAAATTATTTCTCCAAGAATAAAACTTTTAAATTTAAGATTTAAACAATCACTTTTAACCACAGCGACCAACATCAACCATAGTGTGTATGATTTCTTTTTGTTGTTGAAGATATCACATAAATTGATATTGTGCTTTGTCATCTATTCATTGCTGGTCAGTCACTCTTCATGCCTACTCATTTCCCACTTGAAGGTGGGCATGGTATCTCACTTTCTCTCTTAAGCCATTTAGCTTCCTAACCAATTTAAATTATCTCACTCAACCTTTTTTCGGAGACTTCTTTCTTGACCCAAACGAAGGATTTTCTTTTTCTTTTTCTTTTTCTTTTTGCTCTAATTAACATTTAAAAACTTTTTTGATTTCCTAATTACCACAAACTTTGTTTCACCAGTTGGTGAGCTAGACTCTAGGATTATGTCAAATAGAAAAGACTTTGGGGACTATGATATCATTTTTCTCTCTGCACACTAATATTTCCAATGATAAGAATTCAATGCCTATGATATATATATGCATTTGATAACAAATAATGATAACTAGTACGTTTCTTCTTTTGCACTTAAACCGGTAATAAATTCACATTAATTGTGCATAACAATAATTTGTATCTGCTAAGAATTCAATGCATATGATATGTATTTGATAACAATGATAACTAGTACGTTTCTTCTTTGGCACTTAAGCCAGTAATAAAATCATATTTGTGCATAACAGGAGGAGTTTAAAAAGTGATTCCACGATCCTAATAATAATTATCCTTTAAAAAGTAATAACTCAATTAATAAAAGCAAGGACTTTGTCTTATTGGCATTTGGTCCCCCTCGCCTCTTTTTCATTGTAAATAATATAAATCAGAATTTGATTCCCCCTTTTCTTTTTTGCTTTTCAAGATTTTAAAGTGTGGAAAGAAAAATCTAAACCACTAACTCAAGTGGACAGTGCATATGAAATTACATATTACCAATCAGCAGCTTTGGATAATGAAAGTTGTGGAATCTCACAAGTGCTCTTGCTACACTTTGTTTTGTGCACCGAATTGATTCATATAGGCGATCAAGGTGCAAAATAATGATTAAATTTAAATTAATGGCATTAGTATAACATATTAACTAACGATTATGCCTTGTGGATGATGATATTGTGGGTTATATCTACATACATTGAGATAATTGACCAATTGAAACTATAAAGTTGTCATAAGGCACCTGCTTTGGAGTGCAAGTTACCTTTAAAAATTGAAGAATAAAACCATCTCATCCTCCCATATTAGTAACTATGAGAGTATCATGAATAGGAAAAACACAAAAGTAACTTTTAATAAGATTCACCTTATAGAATTTGCACAAAGTCTATTGATTTTGCTTAATTCTAATGTATTTCTTTTCATATAATATAACCATTTCATAATAACCAACAACATGAAATGCACAATTAATTTTAGGGTTCATTTTTTCTATAGTTACTGCAGATACGTTATCTGCAGTAAGCCCAATACGATGTTGTTTTGGAGCGAAAATCATGATATTTTTGTAATTTTAATTTAGAAATATTTTTTTCTTAATTTTATTCAAGAACTCTCTCTTACTTATTATAAAAAGGTAATTTTCTCACGACCTTTTATCTTACTCTAATGTTTAATAAAAAAAAGCAAACAAGCTAATTGCATGACTTATATACAATCTTTGGGAAAGATTGAATGATATCTTTTTGAAGCATTAACATTGAAGTACAGATTGAGTTTTTGTTTTATTCTTGAGAAAATTTACGGTTCATGCATTAATATGGGTTGAATAAGTGATTTCTATCAAAAGTCTCATCCATCTTATCTTTGAGAATATTAGAAGTTAGGATTACATCTTGAACTTGAACACGCACATATATAGTCAAAAAACTTCATCTTAAATGGCTGTATATTTGTCAATTCAAAGAAAATAAGATAGTTAATATGTACAACAAATAAAAACGGCATCCATTATTATATAACAATAATTTGGTAAAATATAACGTAAACTTTAATATTTCTCATGATTTGGTCTTAACTCTCCGTGTACTAGTGACGTACTATGGAGCACAATGTAATATATTTTATCATTATTTTCTAAAATTATATTCCTATCTCTTTCATGTTGAATTTGAAAAAAAAAAAAAATACATATATTCTCTCTATGCAACTCAATATAAGTTTGACAAAACCTTAAACTAATTTAATGTAATATTGCCAGGTAAGAAATGTAGAAAATTCAAACACTTGATTAAATTGAAAGTTTATATATTCAATAATAATTGGTCGTAATAAAAATAGGCTGACTAAAGACAAATCTTGCACACACACACACTACAAAGTTTATACATAATAAATTATAAGTTTTCAAAGGAAAGAAGATTGAAGGGCTTACCAATTACATGCAATACCCCAAAACTTGTCCCTAAACTGTGCCAACACTTATGAAAAATATATTTCTTAAAAAAAACTTTGGACTTTTAATACAAAATAAACGTCATCCTCTTATTTTATTTTCCTTTTATCATTTTATATGTCTGATTTCTGAGGTGGGGCAGGTTGCACATTTCACATATAAACCCGTGTATGGTAGAGTTGGGTCATACATGATTTGTACGTGAAATACACGCTCTGGTTTGAAACAACACAAAGCAAAGGAAAGCCACAATCTAGGAATGGAAGGGTGTTGTGATCAAACATGTTTCAATCATTCATCCTCAATCCCATCACATACACAATAGTCTCCACAGTTTGGCTCAGAAGTCAATGCCACAAAAATGATATTTAACACACCACAAATGATAATAACTTTGTGCCAGTGGTGTGGTACATATGCTCAGCACCAAAAATTCCCAATTCTACCAATTCCCTTTGGTTTGTGTCTTTATAAATCCCAAAACCGTTGAGGGCATTTCCTCTCTAGCCAACCAAACATCACATGTAAGGCCCACCAAAACAACATAGCAATTTCAGTCTTCAAGCCACAGATTAAAAAATAAAACAATAAAAAAGTTTGAATAGTATAAGAAAAAAAAAAAGCCAAAAATAAAAAATAGTATATTAGAAAGAAGAGAGGCACATCAGAACAAAACAAAACAAAAAACAGGCACAAACAATAAGCAAACCCCTCTTTCTTTCCCTCAAAAGCCTTGTTTTTCACTCTTTCATATTTCTTCTCCAATCTCCACCCAAACCACCCCTAACCCTTTTTTCTCCTTTTAGATATTTGTTGGTTTTGGTTTAAGGAGAGAGTCAATGGAAATCAGTTCAAGGATTCAAGATAGAGAGAACCAATCTCCAATGAACTCTCCAACAAGCAATGTCAGCAACTGTATGAGTAGCAGCAACAGCAATGGCATCCAAATCCAAACACCACCTCTCACTCCAAAAACCATTCACAGATCTGATTCCAACCCTTATCCTACAACTTTTGTCCAAGCTGACACAACCACTTTCAAACAGGTAGTTCAAATGCTAACTGGTTCATCAGAGACAACAAAACCAGCATCAGCATCTAAACCACCCCAACAAGATCCATTATTACCACCACCACAATCATCAAGGAACTTCAACATCCCTCCAATCAAAACAGCACCAAAGAAGCAAGGGTTCAAGCTCTATGAGAGGAGGAACAGCCTCAAGAACAGCCTCATGCTCAACACCTTGATGCCCAATTTTGCACAGAATTCAGGGTTCTCACCACGCAAGCCTGAGATCCTCTCTCCAAGCTTGCTTGATTTCCCTTCCCTTGCTCTTAGCCCTGTCACCCCATTGAATGATGATGACCCTTTTGACAAGTCCTCACCTTCATTGGGAAACTCATCAGAAGAAGACAAAGCCATCGCTGAAAAGGGGTTCTATTTGCATCCCTCTCCCATGACAACTCCTAGAGACTCAGAGCCACAGCTTTTGCCTTTGTTTCCTCTGTCTTCACCTAGAGTTTCAGAATCACCTTCTTGAGAAGAGAAGAGATTGTGTAAAAGGCTAAAACTTTGCGTTGTGGGTGACTTAGATTGAGAGAATGATTACATGGGTTTTGAATGATTTCCAACAACAAGGTACAGAGCTTGGTCTAATTGTAAAAGTGGCTTTGTTACCATGAAATGGCAAAAGCCCTCTTTTTTATTCTCCTGCTTTGTCTTTCACCTCAGAATATTGCTATCTTTTCCTTTCCATTAATGAAACAAGAAAAAAAAATCTCTCTGTCCAATGAAAATTTTGTTTTTCTCTTCATATTCCATGATTAGTTCTTCTAGGATTTTTGTTTGAAAAATCACATCTTAGGAATAATCATAAGCCAGAGTTTCTCTTTAATTGATAATGATGAATTCAACCAATAAGGCTCTTCATAGTGTTTGTGTGATTCCCGTTTCACACCAACCACCAGTGAAGTTGTGTTCAGATATGAACAGATTCCAAAGAAGGCAAAGAGATGATAAGGAAATGAAGATGCTTGGAAGGGACAACTTTTACTTGATATCAGTCTTCTAAAAAGGACATAACTGTATCCTTTATTGTCATCACAGAAAGCTGCACCAACTTGATGAAGGTTGAGGGGTCCCTCTTCTTGGTTTTGCCAATTTTTGGTCTAATCAGTTTCTCAAGCAACTCAAATCCCAGATATGATTTTGATTAATTTTATTTTTTTTTCTTATTTTTCCTGACTCCTATTACTGGAAGAAAAACCGTTTCTGTATCAGTTTCAAAGTTACCTATTTGATCAAGAAGTGAAGCAAAGACTTTTCTTTCTTTTGTATCATTTTTAAAATGCAGTGTATTTATGCATATGTCAGATCCACCCAACTTGTACTTCCTACAATAATCTAGACATGGGACCAATGTATGTGTCGATCGTAAAAATTGTTCAGATAAGTTGTCCTTCTGGAACCATGTGACCATTTGATGAGTGAGAATTTTTTGTATGGTCCGCATACAGTGGCTGCTGTTTTCCTTGTACTAAGGAAACATAGACCAAAATTCTCACGATGGACATAAATTTCAAAGCACGCAAAAAGAAAAGTTCTATGGTGGGTAACATGTGAAATGAAACAAGGACAAACGAAATTCAAAGGAAAAATAAAGTATAAGATATGAGTTACTTATTTGAATTATTGTTATTGATATCTGATATTGTAGTTTTAAATTGTAGTTGTGATCCAATCAAATTTTCCAACAATGGCAGGGGAAAAAAATGTAGTGAAAAGAAGTTAGTAAAGAGTTATGCACAATTTCTATGGTCCTGCTACTCCTGCACAAACATGTTAGCGATCCACATACACGAGTTCTATCCATTAAAATAATTTAGTTGGGATTACTAATAATTATAAATTTTAAAACTGAAGAAGCCAAGAATGTTTCTTATCTCTCTCTCTTTTTTTCTCTTTTCCCTTTCTTTGTTCTTGCTTTATTGATATAAGTTTTCTTAGATAGTAATGGGAAGCATTGAAGGATTGACAAATGACAAGAGAAGGAGATAGGATAGAGAAAGTGGGACTTTGGTGACAATGATCATGCTAAGAGAAAGTAAGGCAGAAAACAAACCATATGTATATAAGAAAAGCAGAGAAAATGTGAAGACCACACATTTTCTTTTCTTCTCCTTTTTAGACCTTGTTTTGTCATTTAGGTAATCTAGGTTGGACACAACTTCTGGTGCATTGATCAATAAACCGCCAAGATCTTCTTTCTTCCAGTTTTTATGCAACTTTAAACATCTTTTAATTCTTGTTATCTGACACCACTTTTTTTTTTTGACAAAGATAGCAGCTAATTAGGTGGTTTGTTAAAGGATCAAGTTGAAAAAACCACATGATAGAGCACGAAGAAAACCTGATACTAACTTCAATGAACTTATCGTTATTCAATCAAGATAGTAACCCCTTTATATTATATACAGATGCGTCAAGCTGAATGTAACTTGAAACTAGGCATGTTGTCTGATACTCCATGTTTTACGTGGAAATAGGTAGCAATGGAATGATGATGGAATTTTGTTTGTTCTTTTCTTTTTTAATACTTTATGGATGCAAGCAGAAAAAGGGGCAATGTGAATGATGGAGGATCAAGCATTTAACATCATCACACTCAAGTGTTCAAAGATTTGTAACAATTATAATAAGTTTATTGACTGGAATCTTTTGTAGTTGTAAAAAGCTTAGGATAGAGGAGAGGTTCTCACATTCTAAAATTAAGACATGCCACAACTTCATGGAGGAAAGCTTGTTGTGGTACTTATTTTGGCTGGGATTTTGTTTATATTTATGAATGCTATTGAAGTATACACGTTCTGTTATTCCTTTTTGTCATATCAGTCAGGTGTATTTTTCTTTCATTCCCTACATTACATGGGAGAGAGAAGAGATTTTGACTTGCTTAAAATGTAAAAGAATTGGCTTCAATCTTAATTTATACGAGAAATTATATTTTAACATAGAATATTTCACATCATTCTTATATCAATTCCTTTTTAAATAATAAAAAAAAAAAAAAAGGTTAAACTGAAACTTGAAAATTGAGCAATATATTACATTTATTTCATATTAAGAAGTGAAAGTTACAATATCCTTAGTTATCATAACACATTTAATGTCACACAGATGACTGCAACTACTCTTTAGATCTCTGAGAAGGATTTGATTGTCTTGAACCCATGATTTTCAGGGAGGGGTCCATTTCCAGGTCGAATAGAAATTATCACCTCCAAGCCTGAAACATTGACAATTGTCAATAAATGAATGTGCAGACAAAATAAGCAGTTTCTTATTTGTTCATATAACTTGGATCCTATTCCTAGGGAAGGGTTGATAAATTTCTACACTACACCAAAAAGACATGCAAACAAATCAATCTGCCACACTGCACAAGTATAATGTGGGTGCAAGTGGTGTGTAGATGAAGGACACAAAAGCTGTATTGCATTTACTCAGCCAAATTTGATATGAATTTTCTATTTCATGTAAATCATTATGCGACACTTTCTTGTTTACTAAAAACTAAAAAGTATAAATAATTTTACACTGACAGTGAATAAAATTAAACTTTAAAATAAAGGGTTGAATTTATAATTAGATGATGGGTTCAGAAAAATTATCATACCTGCTGCCTTTGCAGCTGTAGCTTCTTGAAATACATCAGTGACAAATAAAATATCTGATGGTTTATCAACACCAAGTGACTCAGAAATTTCAACATAACTGCGTGTCTCTTTTTTGTTCCTGCAAAAGAGTTTTGCGTGAATATTGGTATCTTTTAGACAGGAATCATCAAGGGGAAACATCAATATAAAAAAAAATTACCCCACTGTGGTGTCAAAAAATCCAGATAAATATTTTCTTAGGTCCCCATAGTTTGTTTTTCCAAATATTAACCTTTGTGCCAACCTGCTACCACTAGAATATATGTATACCTGTAGCATAGATCAGAAATAGCAATTAAAATACAAGAAAATATGCTCTCCAAACATCAGGTAAAAAATTGCATACAAAGTGTGATTGCTCTATTTGTTTCATTCTTGGTCAACAGAAAATAACAATTGCCTCACCCTCAACAAACTTTGGCTGAGAGTAGAGTTGAATGATTTTTACAATAACATTTTATATAGTTAGGCATCTTGGAAATCCAAACACAAAAAATGGGTAGATATAAAGACGTCTAGTCATTTAGAATTTAGAATGTCAACAGTACCCTAAGCAGAAAGAGTAGTGCACTCAAGTGAAGTGTTTCAAGGAAGGGTCCATAATAAAGGCTTGATGGTTAGGAGAGGTAACTGTCTCTTCAGGCCAATTCTTTGTGCCTTTTCCTTGGTAACCTGATACTTGATAGCAGGCTTATGCCAGTTTAGTGGGTCTATATATGGATGAGCCAACATGTGTCAGGAAGAGAAAAAGAATGGTACTGTAGCAGGATAAAGTAGATGAGGATGTTATCGGTGATTGGCGGAGTTAAGAAAGTGGGTGATGTCACAAAAGTTACAAAGGGACTCACTCTGCTTCAGTGGGACAGTATCAAGTCTATTTAAAGGGAGTCCTATCTAAACCAAGGGGTCCACCATAGGCACCTAGACCAAACCAAAGAAAAGAAGAGACTAGACATAGATGAATGGGGTATTTATAAAAAGGGAAGGAGAAAAACAAGAGGATATAATTGGAAATTCAAATATACAGACATCTCAACATATGGTTATCTTATACCCTTGCACTAAACATGGGTGTATCTTGCTTAAGCATCAAAGATGCCTAGGTTCAAAATGCAGGAAACTAATCAGCAACAGCCATTTCGACATTTAACCAATGAACCAAAAAGAGTTATAGAGCTAAGAATCAGCAAAAAGCACCTTTATGCCTAAGGCATGCCACTTCTCTAGAGCTTCTGGTACATCATCAAAAACTATTCCCTCCAATTCATTATTTTCATAACCAGTTTGCCATATATGACCCTGCATGGCTAAAGTCAGCAATATCACAAACATGTATTCAACAGAAAGAAAGATTAGGTTTAACAACCTGCAACTCTTTTAAGGCAGTGATCTTTCTATCAGCTTTAATCATAGCATCCACATTAGCAACTAGAGCAGCAATGACTTCCTCTTTCCCAGCATCATCTGGGGGGATAGGCACAGCACCTGCAATCCCTTGTTCAAGGTCACTTTGTACCTGTCATCGCAATGGAAGAGAAGTCAATGGTCCAAATTCTCTGAATGTAATATACACATAAAATCTCCAGATCTCAATTAAGTGAATGCTTATTATCTTTTTGTTTGACACACTAATTGCAACGGGGAAGAAGGTGGTCTAGTCCCTTGCTTCCATACTTTCCTATTATTACCATACTGTTCATATATGAATGAAACTACAGCTTCTTGTTTATCTCTTTTCTCCGGTGATGGACAAAATGTATTTGACTTTATGCTTTAATAAACCTCAAAAACAAGTATAATCACTCATAGAAAAATTGAATGATGTAAATATGACAGACAACTTAATACTCATGATGTAGTTCAAAACTACAATCCCATTCTCATCTCCAACATATAATTTCAGCATCAAATAAAGCACAACATTCCACAGTACTGTACTACTACCGTTCAATTCCTAAACCACATATTCCACTCGGAGGAATATAAATACCTTAACCATACAGCCCTATAAAAATCTTACTTGAGAGCAAAGCAACTTGATATCATCTTGAGTGTCAGGGGTATCATATGTCGCAGATAGGTGCCTCCCAACATTATCACGGGCATATGGGAAGAGAACCTCTGAAACAAATGATATGGGAGTAGTAGTTCCTTCAATGTCAAGAACAATGCAACGCTGCAATTTATATAAAGAAAATAATCAACAATCTAATTTGAAATTATAAGACAACTGCAGGATATTTCAAACATCCTATTCTTATGAACTGGGGACTAGCATTATCAGTCTACTAAGGATAGAGGTTCTTGTTTCCGGAATTTAAGCAAATAAAAATACTCACAAGTTTAGTGTTCTAAAGCTTTAAACAAAAAGGGAGGATTATGTGAACTCACCGGGAATGGATCAGTTTCACCATTAGCTTTCCTTGCCTTAACTGACAGATTTGACTCCCCAGTAATAGTTAGACCCCTTCTTGCACTTTGTATCGGACCATGATTTGGAGTTGACCAGTCGAATCCCATTTGTTGAAGTTTGATAGCAGCATCAAAGAGATAATGGTAACACTCAGACTGGAAGAAAAATCATCAATTTACCAAAAAGCAAGATAATTGTAAATAACCCCCAAATATAAAAAATAAAAACCAACACACACACACACAAAATGTCATATTAACACTCAA